TTGGGGCATTGCTGGCCTTTCCTCTTGTAGTACCAATCGCATCTCTAGAATCGTTACTGTCGATAGTTACGTACTGCCACGAGTCTCCCTAGAAAGTTCCATACATGCTCCACGTGATTTAGGTCCAAAGACCTTACCGTTCAGTCCATGTGTTCAATATCCTCACTCTCCAACAGCTCTTTGACATTAACTGTGTGATTAGCTGGAGTGTTGTCTCCATGAAGAGGAACTGAGGACCCATAATACCTCTGAAAAGACGCATATAAGGAAGGAGAACCTCGTTACAATAGCAGCCCCCGGTGACTGAAGCTGTGAAGGTCGGTACGGCTACTAAACATTATGTCTCCCCAAACAAGAACTCCGCGACCTCCAAACCAGTCCCTTTTGATAATGTTGAAGGGGTTATTGCGTTCTCTCCAGATGTCTATACGTCTAAAATGGCAACTCCTACTAAATCTGCTCTCATCCGTAATGAGTACCCCACCCCATTAATTATCTATTCAATTCTGCTGTCGCCTGCACCCCCGAAAACGCCTTCTCCGATGAGCAGGCCTTAATGGGTATACACCGTACAGGTAGTCGTGCAAACAGACCACCATTGTGCAGCCTCCTGACCATGGTAAAGCTCAACCATCTAATCGCCTGTTCCATGTGTCTTAAGATTTCTCCCTGTGTTTGGTAACTGTACCTTCTTGCCTATAGGGCAATATACCAGTCGTCCGCTGCTGTGGTTGCTGCTGAACTTTTCGTGTAGTTTGAAATGCTCTCCAAAGTCGTGAAATAATGCTGTGAGCATTCCTCCACTCCACAGACATGCTTGTCACACTTCGACTTTCCTCAGTCTTTCCAATGATTCGAACTCTGGTAAAAGCATCCAGATTTAACACATGTATTGTTCAACATTTCATACTGATGCAGCACCTCGACGTCGTTTAAACTGATATATGCCGGGCAATAGCTTCCCCAAACACCTCCAGCGATCTCTATACCCCTCAGACACTCCCCCAAACGTCTAGCTGCATATATGCGCATGTGCTAATGTTCCTGACCATAGCCGATCTTATAATTAGTCTTTCAGTCTACTCTGCCTCTTCGCTCCACTGATAAACTAATTTTTCAACTTCGTTCTTAATTTTTGCACACCAATGTGGTTGATAAAATGTACTCCCCACAGTAAAAGGTAGTTACATCTTTTTAACGACTTCAGTTAGAAAGAAACAACCTGTATGGCAATAATTGATATTTTGTGTGTTCAAAATCCATAATATCGTATTCTGAATTCCAACAAACTTCTACCTTTAAAGCATGAAAAATTTTGCTACAAAACTCCCTCTTGTTACCAGACATGAGAGTATATGCTACAACCATCACGTTATGTTCCAGCACTAAACTATCTAATTCTGCTTGCAAAGAAGACAACCGACAAAACGGCTTTTATTTAGTTTTGAATATGCAATTTATATTGTATTTTAAAATTTCACATACATTTTTGCAGTGTTGTAGATGCTAACTCTCGGCAGAAGCAATAAAACCATTACTTCATTACCTCAACATCTTCTCATCTGTTTGTAAAAGAGGACCTATCGAAGAGACCTACTTTAGTTTTGGTGGCTCTTGGACTCATGGATCTGGTTTAATGGCTAATCAGTTAGGATCAGTAACAACAACAACAACAAATCGTCAGTGCTATCTGACCCCAGCGCTTTAGCTTTTTTCCATATCCTGTGAAGAGATGACTTAAAACTAAACTTTGATATCATGATACATTGACTTCAAATTTATAAACCTTGTAAAATAGTCCATTGATATCAACACTTAAAAGTGTTCGTATCGAGGCATCTTTTTCTGTAACTCGTTTATCTGTATTTGACAAGTGAACAATTGACAAAGTACATCAGACTTACAAATAGACTCTGTAACTTTCAGATGTGATCTATCTTTCAGTTTCATTTTATTTTGCCAGTTTCATCTTCCAGTGGTGTTTAAAATTTAAAGATTTCTGTATTTCATCGATTACCCCAAAAATTGATGAACACGATTTTAACGAAATGCAGTATAACCTAAAGGCATGGCATATACCCATGCATGGATCATGATTAAGGTTCATCGGTGTAGGAAGGCTTAAAACAGCGGTTGAAAGATCAAACCAAAACAAGAAGGCTAATAATTTTCCTCTGATAGTTATCTGGAAATGAGGTAGTTTATGACAGCCTTTGGCACTCGGTTCTACTCCTGCGGCAACGCTATTTTCGGGTCCTGTAAGATTCTAGAAGGGGTCAGGAGGCGAGTTGCAGTTATCTTTCTAAGAGCACCTTAGGTATATTCTAAAGACTTTAATTTTGGAGATCTGACTGATAAACCTTTCTAGAAAACTATCCATTTGATTATTAGCTCTATATGGACGAGTGATGTCGTATATAACTGGGGGCCAACTGCACTCCTAAAAGGTGAGTATACAGCGCTACGATTTCTTCCCCAATATCTCTCAACAGTCACAGAGCCTGTGTCAAAGACATAGAGAGCTGAGCATCCGCCCAACAGGATGTCTGACCACACCTTCAAACGTCTGTTGCCAAGCTGGTGGTTTCTTCGGATGTCCTTCGTTGCTTCCAAATGTAGAAACTTTGATAATCAATTGTTAGTCTGAATCGGGACTCACCTGTGAAGAAAACGGTTCTTCATTGATGGTTCACTCAAAGTCCCCAAACTCCGTACTATATTAAACGGGTTCTCTTTTGCGGAGGCATGGGCGAGACAAAACCAGCAGATCTTCTGTCATCTAGAACGAGATCTTTGAGACCTGCATTTAACTTTTTAAGAGCGAAGTTAGCTTTCAGTTCACTATTATGGAGGACAAGCTCGTCTACATAGGAGTAATCCGGTGGATGGTTTTCAGGAAAGTGAGGATGTTAACCTGATGAATTGGCCAACCAGAGCTCCGTACCCTATCATCTCAGAAATCTCTAAGACCTTAAATCCGCGTTGTTCATACCTTTTACCACAGGTCCCACTCCTGCAAAAATATTCACACGTAAACTACCATATTTCTAGTATAATGTAACATTTTGAGAACTCTATGACTATTTAAGGAGACTATACCCGGTTTTCCTCCTTTTTGTCTTTAGTCTTACAATTCTATTTAAAAGTTTCTGCGCCTATGAGATGTAAGCACGATTTTGCGGGTTTATGCGAACTGTTGTTCGGTAATTTTTTTTTTTTTTTGATATTATAAGAAGTTAGATCAAAGACATGGAAAGGTGCAGTTAATTTATATCAAAATTTCAATTAAAATTAAATTGGAGAACATTAGTGCGTTTAAAGGGTATATATTACTTGTAATCTATCAGTTGAAAGGTAATTTCACCCATTGAAGTTAACCCATGTGTCACTACCGTGGAAAAGCCCATTAAATTTATGTATTTACTCAAAATCAAAAATTAACCATACCTTTACCCATCAAAGCTAATAGTCACCAGAGTCCGTTAGGTCACCCAAACCTACAGTCTGAATGAAGACAGTGCAGTGAATAGTGAATTCAGATATATCTTAAAACTATGGTTAAGTCGAAGCACACCATGGCTTTAGAATACTCATGAGTAACCTACAAGTTGAAGGTCCCATGGTGACGATCATTCGCTTCACGTTGTGACAGTGCAGTAAATTCAAATAGTTAAGCTGTAATTAAATCGAAGCTTTGTGTTTGTCTGAAATCGAAGTTGTTGGTCCTCAATGCCTATCAACTACCGTAATTGTCATTGGTGACCTTATTCCTTGCATATCACTTTGACAGAATCAGGGGTCACCCTTTTCAGGCGGTGGAATAAATTTAGATCGAGTTGTAATCCATACTTGTAACCACTGGATTACTAGTTTGGTGCAATGCAGTAATTTTAGACAGATTTGTTTTAGTTAAAATGAAAATTAAGCATTAATAGTTGCACTTAAGGCAGTTGGTGACTAATGATCTACAGATTAATTACGGTTCATGTCACTTTAAAAATTACCGTTCATGTCACTGTGTGTCAGCAAAGTAAGTTTGAATAAGTTTTCAAAATAAAATTAAACTGAAGAGAGTTGATACCTTCAAAGCTGTTGGTCACTGATGACTCACAAATTGATCACTGGTGATTTATACTTTTATCAACAGTGAATTATTGTTACTGGTTACTACATAAGCTACATAAGCTGATTTACTTAATGAAGTACAGTAACTTTATATCAATATTAAAATTAAATTAAACAAAAGGACATTTTTGATCGCACTGTTCATTGTCAAACTCATGATCATCGGTGCCGTTAAGGTCATTGGTTATTCGAAGATCTAGAGATTTTCTGTCACCAGTGAAAGGTAGTGAGGTAAATTGAAGTAGATAAATAAAATTAAATGAAACCGTTGGCCACCGTTGATCATAACAGAAAGATACTGTTGATTGTATCATTAGCGGTAGTAGTATCATTAGCGGCTGATAAAGGCCGCTAATGACCATCAAGGCCATTAATCACCGGGTGACTAGAGGGTTTTCAATCCCCAAGTTAAAGCAGCGCAGTGTTTCTGTATTACCAATTACTTTAATTCATCCGTCAAAAACCTTGCATATACTCTTCTCCAGAATTGAGATGTTGTTGATTACTATCAAGTAATGGTAAGACAATGAAACCCTCTCCAAATTATAGAAGTTTGAATTTTGTCAAAACAATAGAACACAAAATATGCAAAACTCTAATAACTAACATTACATTTACACCCGGAAATTCAGCAAAAACGTCAATGCAGTTAATAAGAAAAAAATTTAATTCTTTCCATTATTTAGATAGTTACCAATGCTTAGCGTTTTAGTAGGTAGGTGATCAAATGACGTAACACATGCCATTTTATTCAAAGGAATTGCGGATGGCAGACTTTCTTCTCACAAAATAAATGATTACCAATCACGAAACGCACGCACAATGGTAAACAATTCAGTGGTGCAAGTCTGAATTTTAATGCAGCCCTTTCTTTATCAGGCAAGTGTTTCCACTGACATTATCATAACATTCCGTCTATTGGTACGATTGCATTTAAAGAAATCAATAGTTGCTTTGTAGTACATAAGCTGCTATTCTTTTATTTTTTTTTCTTGCTTTGAACCGCTTTTTAAGGACTTCATAGATTAAATAAACATCATTTGGCAACATCTAATTAGTACCTTATTATGGTAAGTTCAATTCGATATCAGAAGTTCTGGTTACTTTTATAGAAAAGACTGATCTTTTAAAAGTTTTACTGTTTGTGATTTAATTGTTATTTTTAAAGCTTTTGTGTTTAAGGATTGATGTTACTTTTTCAAAACAAAAGTGTTAAGCTTCCGAAAACGTTTTAATGTAAGGTCCACAGAATCCTATTCACTGTGTTAAAATTATGAGTAGATTTATTCATTTTTTATCAAAATTATATACTTTTCGATCATAATTACTGTTCTAAAAGTAATATATTCAAATGTTAAGAATAAATTTTTGCAGCATTGGAAGTAATTTGTAATATCACATCATAACTTGTCAAGAATCACTTAAATGCATTTTGCATAATTTCGCGTATGTCAGTTTAGTGTGTTGAAGGGGTAATAGGTAAATAGTACGTAGGTAATCTAAATAATATATTTTTTGGTTAAGTTTCCTGAAACTTTAAGCATGCTTAAAATTTTAAGTAATAAATTATCTTAAAGCATATTTTAAATATTCTATTTAACATATATGATGGTTGCGGAATTCAAAAGGGTATTTAACGGAAAGAAATTATGAAGAACAATGTAATAAATCAAAACTGAGAATCATGGAGTGGGCATACATCAAAAATTAGTAATAATGAAATAAATTTACACAAAACTCAAAAACTCTTAATTCTAGTACTAATATTTTATTAATTTCTAACAAGTTGTTTTTTAACTAATATTTTATTTTATATTAATTTATTAATTCTTTAGTAATTATATTATTTCTAATTTTGTATTTTAAACTAATATTTTATTAATTTCTAATAAAATTTACATTATTTATTAGTAATTTTGAGTCAAATATAAAAACAAAAACTTTCCGAAAATGCTAGAGGATCCGATTAGGGTAAATTAAGATAAAAATTAAACTCAAGCATTTCTAGGTTCCTTAAATTTAGATCGGAAACAAAAGGTTCATAATAAATCGGACTGGGCATGATGATTATTCAGTTTTTGAAAAGCTTGTTCTATGTTATTCTTACACATAATTAAATAACCTTATTCAAAAAGTACCTATAGGTGAGATTAACATGAGATTTCTGTGTTTAAGTTGCTAAAGATTGTAGTTTGTAGAATTTAGCGTATATAGTTCCTGTTGTAGCAGCTTCCCAGTTGTTAATTTCATTTCAAATCTATGAAAGTGAAAACGCAATATGCTGTAATTGAGATTACATTACACTAAGGGTTTCCCTGGATATATGCTTAAAATACTTGAAATGTATAAATACTACCACGTAGAGGTAAAAAAAGCAAAAAGGTGTCGCAAATACAAAAAAGGGATGGTCATAAAAACTACTTCTTCGATATATGATCCCTTAGAGGCTTTTCCGCTCAACCAATTGAAATGAAATTTCAGCTATTGTTATTTGAAGGTATGCGCTCGAGATTGTGATGATTTAAAATAATAGAGCTCTCACAGTTGCGGTTGCACTGAAAATATTTCGAAATTTTCGAATAGCAACACCCACTTTTTCCTGCGCGACTTGTTCAGCGCATTGAAAAATAGTAAATGGCGTTAGCGACAGACATATGAAGAAAATTACAGGCGTAAAACATCTGCTAAAGAGAGCTTTGTAAAGGACCAATGAAAACCCAAGAGAGGACAGCAAGAAAACTTTTATTGGAATTACAAATTATCAACGTGTACATTCTCTGATGATAACGCATTGCATGCGAGAGACTGTTGATAATAATACCGCAAGTTATATCGCAGAAATAATCTGTAAAATTTCACGTTTCGTGGCATCTTTCATTTCTGACAAATCCCATGCATTTAATGTAATTAAATCTCATGCAGGAAACTGCAAAGTTACGAGAGATAACTCTATCTTGAAACGTTGTACACGTTTAAAACTTGTAATTGAAATAAAAGTTTTTTTTCCCTCGTGTTTCTCGTCCTGTCATTGGTTCTTTAGAATATTCTTTTGTAGGTGTTTTAAGCAGGCAATTTTCGTCGTAGGTGTATCGTTCCAACTCCGTTTATGGTTTTTCAATGTGCTGATCAGTTTGCGCCAGAAAAACTGGTTGCTGTCATCGAAAAATCCGAATTTTTTTCATTGTAACCGTAACCGTCAAAACTCTATTATTTAAAATCAAAACCTCGAGCGCATATCTTCAAATAATAATTTATGAAACTTCATTCCGATTGATTGAGAAGATAAGCCGCTAGGAGTTCATATACCGGGAAAGTTTTTTTATGGTTGACCAGTATTCAAAAGCTTTTTAGCCCATCAGCTGCCGAGCAGTAAAGTCGCTGAAAACAGGAAGCTCGGTCCAAGTTTCGAACCCCGCGAACGGGTTGACTGCATGGTTTTTCGGTTTCTTTTCGTGGTGGCTTTTACCATGTGTAACGTATATACGATCCAGTTTCTCTTAGAAAGCCCTCCACGAGAGCATGTCTCCTCTTAGGCAAATAGCCCTCGTGGGCTTTGCCATAGTTAAATAAACCGAAAAAAAAACTTACCAAAAGCTATTTAAACTAATTTTTTATTCAAAAGTATCACATATAAAATAAATGCTTAGATTAAGAAATAGGTAAATCTAATAAAACTTTTAGAAATAAAACTTGTAATAACATAATGCAGTTTTCATTTCGGTAGTAACGGCTCTTAAAGCAGATAAGATCTCTTTATCTGTGCTTAAAGGATAATAATAACACATGCCGACTGTAACTATTTTATGCTTTCTGGAAGGAATCTTCGTGCGCGCTTACACAGAATGAGGGTTGATGCTACCGAAAGTTTCAAGTCTAGGTTTAGTTTAGCATTCAAATATTCGAACAATTCAAACTTCAATAACTGAATTTCCTTTACCTGTCAGACGACATCGATGTAGTCCAAGATGTTAATTATGTCCAAACCATATTTTATTGACTTCATGAAAACACTACCAAACAAAGAGGAAAAAACATATGCATCAAGTGTTGACTCGTTTTTCACATTCTTATTTTCGTTCAAACTGTTCGCTGTCTCAAATGCGACGGTTTTCCAAAGTCAGACGCATAGTTCCACGTGGCATCTGTCCTTTTTTGTTCCGATATACTACCCTTTCCCGAATGATCAGGAGTTCAAACAGTAATCATAAATAAATTCTTACAATGTTCAATTCCAACCATTGACATATACACAAGAAACTATCATAACAATACATACAGAATCATTGACCTTTAAGCAAGTAACAAATACCTACAATGAGGAATAAAATCTGCAGAAAATTGACAATTTACATTTTTCATGCATAATACGACTTTCATCACAGATATGGAATCTTGTAACAATAGTTGAGATTAATAAACAAACAATAAACAAGTAAATGTTTTCCTTTCTTTCGAGATTATATAAAAGTTACAAATGCGAGATTATATAAAATGACAGATGTGCCAGTTTTAATTTCTTGCAGTATCTTAATTTTAAGTAGATCTTAATTTTCTGTCTCTACCAGTAAATACTTCAACAACCCTCCATAATTTCCAAAAATGCTTAGGTATCCTATCATCATCAATACATACAATATTGCTAACTTTAAATTCAGTAATATTTTACACGTAGGCTTCGCACAGTGAAGAAATCTTAACATCAAAAAATATTCTTTCTCCCGTTTATTTCAAAATATAGTTACCAATCTTGGTTAGTAATTAAATCTTTTAATCAGCATTTTCCTGTTAACTAAATTAGAATCAAAATTAAGTCTCGCAGAAGGTAAACAAATCACTCTACGCCAATGAGCTGGAGTTAGAGGCACAGTTCTTGTAATTTGGAAAAAGCTCTTAAAGTTTTTTTTATAGGTCATATTAGTCTTTTATTAAAAGCTACTACACCATGCAGCATTCTCAGCAATATAGGACCAATGAATTCTGTGAAGGCGTAAAAATATTTCACTCTCGGATAACTATTGACAGTCCACAAGTTTTTGAGTTCAAGTTTAGACTTGCGAGAGCAGATCTCGATAGCAATGAATCATCAGAACTCAAGAAGAAACGTTTCTGTTGTCATGCTGCCAACAAATTCCAAATGAAAAGCTCGCAGTATTACAGATGTAAAAAATAGATGTTTTTCCGTCACCTTAGGAATAAAACGGTTCGCCAAAATCTATGCCTATTACATAAATGGTGTTAGATTTTCTGTTCGAGTTTCTGGTAAAGGAACAGTAACTTGCGCATCAGGAGAAGAACTGAACAGTTTCCACAGAATACATTTTTCATTCATACATTCGTGCAAGGAAATCAAAATGATTAAGCACATATGAGAAGAAGAAAAGATCTGAAAAAATTTATCTGATAGTAGTTAAGGGTTTAGTTACATCTACAAAACATAGAAACCCAAAACAGCTGTCAGATTTCAAAAACAATGAATTTTTCAAATTTAAATAGAATGCAGATGGTAACAAACTGTCTTTTAAAAGTGCAAATAAGAAAATAAGCTTTAGAGTGCAAAGACATCTCAATAATATATATTTAATCATAGGTAATAATTATATCAGGTTATGTGCATTTGAAAGAAAAAAACAATATTTCCTAATTTCAGACGAAATGAAATTCGAAAGAGTACTTATATTAAAACGAAGTGCAAACGATATTTAATAAAATACCTTTTTCTTCTTCTACCTACTCTTGAATTTTATGAAACAATCTTACAGATTAATTTAAATCATGTTTTTAAACTCGCTTTCAAAGTCTTCCCACTCAACGACTATGTCTATATATCTAAGTAACAAACAGCTCGACAGAGATAGATAAGCAATTAAATATCATGCATGTGCATCAAATTAGTTAAATTACTGTGGTTTACTGATCGGTTAACATTTTAATATTGATATAAAATTTTAAATTAACATAATAAAGAAGAACTGCATCATTATTAAGTAGAATGCTGAAGAAGCTGCTGAAATCAAACTTACTTTTAAATAGCTGGATGAAAAGCTGTCACTCATTTCTGCTTTGATTCTTC